TCACAAGAGCTTATACTAAAACCAAATCCAAGACTCACTGAGTTTCTCAACAAAATTCATCTTTATATGCAATTTACACTCAATTTTAAGAATATAACTGATGTTGTAGTTTATACTTTTGTAATCCAAGTCTAGAAATGGCCAATTTCAACACTTGTGACCAAAGGTACTCCTACTCTTTATTGTTTCCCTTTTTTAATTGTTCTTTGATTTTATATACCCTGGATCTACATCTACGGCCTCGAACCCTATCTTTTGGTCATGAAACTTCTGCTATTTTATTGAGGTAGCTTCCCTGTACTCCAGTCATTAAACTGATATTTTATCGAGGTAGCGAACTAGTTTAAACTCAAAAATCTCTTTCTAAAAAAAAACAAAAAACAACTGTTGGATACAGCCTGAGCCGCGACAACAAATTTAAATAACTCACAAAAGGTAAAAGCTCAACTGTAGATAAAACTCAGCAAAAAATGTAAATAACTCACAAAAGCTCTCATAGCTCAACTGTAGATAAAACTCGGCATTCTCCGGTGAACTCTGTTCATGCCGAAAACAAACTCAAAAACAAAAACTCCCTTTTTCTGTATGTAATTTAAACCCGTGATCACTGAATGTAACATATTGTTGCTTCTATACTTTTGTCATTCATCAGCCTGGAATTGGTTAATTACAAAACTTTTGTGACAAAGGCCTCTTTTACACGTTTCGCTTTTTATTACTTTTTATTTTTACACCATGGCTTCTCTATTCTTTTAGTAGTGTCTAATAGTGTCTTTTCTCTGGCCAACACTATTTCTCTCTGCCCCGGATACTTCAAAGGACAGGGACCCCCCGATACGTCAAGGGGTTCTTTTTCTCCCTATTCTTACCTTTTTCCTATAGGGACTGGTTGCCCACACAGCTAACCTGTTTTCTAAGACATGACAAAGACGTGACAAAGACATAACAAAGAAAATTTGATTTAGAGAGATTTGGACAGACCTCTGGGACAGCCCAAAATGTAGCTAGTATCCAATTATGCAGACTTTACATATTAAAAAAGGTGTCTGCTTACCTTTATTCTTGTCAAAGAGGTATACCAAGGACTGTCCGAGAGGTCGCCCACTTCTTTTCCGCGTCGAAAAATTAATTTTAAACACAACATAGAGAAAGTGAGGGAGCAAGAGCAAGCCCATCCAAAAGCGAGCCCTTTCAGCGTCCGCTAGGATTTTTCCCCTTCCAGATAACGTGCTGTTGCTCCCGCACGCCAAAAAAAGACACAAAAGAAAGTCCCTCAAAACAACCAGAGAATGGCGCACACAAGAATGAACCAGACAGAGAAGGATCGTGGTGCGCCAAACTCTGGAAGTTTATTTTGGTTACTCTCAAGTTCCAGTGGTTTCTGATGTTTCTTTCTCTCAGTTCTTTCAGACAGAATAAAGGCTGTACACAGTTTATATAGTCATTGTTACGTCACACATCGAAAGACATACGTGTCACACAGATACAGTGCATGTCATAGTCAAAATAATCAGAGTCCTTGTAGAGTCTTGTGCTTGCCAGCCACGGGTATGTATGGCTAAGGCCAGGCAAAGATAATCAGGTATTGTTGCCATATTTTAACAAAGGTGTCGTAGGCTTTTCTCAGGTTATAAGTATTATTTTTACAGAGGTATACCAACTGTATACCATCTTGTTAGAGAGAGAACATTTCTGTTGCAAGAAAATGTATCGCTGTCACTTGAAAGTCTGATTTGGTTTAGGACAATTATTAATTAACAGAGAGTACCCCTGAGAAATAAATGTACATTATCCACTGTAAGATAAGATCAACTTTACTGTCCAAAGGGAAATTTGCTGTAGGATACAGTGCTGCACAGATGAAAATATAAAAAGGAACATTACAGGATTGGTCAATTAATTCAACATCAAAATAAATAGTAGGTCCTTGATTTAACAAAAAAAAAAACAGCCCTCACAGTCTCACAGCCCTAAGTCGACGTCCTGATGGCAGGATCTGGTTTTACCCATGCAGGGCGTGCATGGATAATAATTTTTTGAGCCAGTGAGAGTATGGTCTGCTTGTAGATCAGCTCCAATGATCTTTGTTGCAGTTTTAACAAGCCTCTGGATTTTGGATTTGTCCTTCACAGAGAGTGCACCGAACCAGACAGCCATGCAGTATCTGAGACAGGTTTCAAATATAGAGCTTTAGTAAATAGTCATAATTTTTGTGCACAATCCGAATAGCCGAACAGGACACAGAGCCGGAGCAGTGATGTGTATTGGCCGTCCACACTAAGAATCTATCCAATACACTTTGAAACCCACCCTACGCACTCTGGGCCTCATGTATGTAACTTGCGTACGGCCAAATCAGGGTGTAAATGATGCGTACGCAAAAAAATTACACTTTTCCGCATTTATCAATCTGGACGTGAGCGTACGGTACGCACAGAATTTACACCAAGTCAATAGGTGGTGTAAATGTGTACTCTCATTTTACCCTTTGTCACAACACGCATGAAATTCAAGATTTGGACAACAATAAACATGTTCCCACTCTGGCAAGATTATAAAGTGTGTTTTCATGGAGCATCATGTTTCGGAATTTGAATTTGCGCATCAGAAAAAGTCTAACACTCTGGAAACAGGCAAACTTTAAATCTGACTTCTGTGTGTATTATTTTGATCTGTATGTTTGTGTAAGCCCTCAGTCGTACAGGGATTAGTCAAAGCAAAGGAAGGTTTCTCACCCATCATCTGTACTTCTTAGCAAGTTTTCCCGACGTTTCGTCCTCAATTCTAAGGACTTCTTCAGGGAATGAATTCTCAGACCGCGCGTTGGAGATTTATAACATATGGGTGTGGTTAGCCACACCCTAATCCTGATACTAACTCATAAACAATCTAAGGTCTGTTTGATGTAGAAGGGAGCAGGTCTAACGACCCTGCTGAGGCTAATGACCCTAACTCATTAGCATGTCACTGACCTTGTCCCAAGTTAGGGCGTTGTTTTTAGGATGTCGTCATAGATGCGAGGCAAAACAAATCTTAACCCTCCTCCTCTCTTAAGAGAAGATTTTTGTTTCCTCACAAAAATGGCTTCTTTCACCCCTCTCTCAAACCAATTCTTCTCCCGAGCCAGAATTTTAACCTTGGTGTCATCCACCGTGTGGTTGGAGGCCTTGAGGTGGAGATGAACAGCCTGTGGCCCACTAGAGTTTTCTCTACGATGTTGGTAAAGTCGTTTCTGTAGAGTTTGTTTAGTTTCTCCAATATTGTGGTCAGTGGACCTGTAAGCTCCCTTCACGTTACAATAACAGTGATCCAGATCATGTGCTCCTCTTGTAGCTCGAATCACATGTTGGTAAAAGTTCGGGAGTACAGTCTTTAAATTATATTTATTGAAATCCCCAGTAACAATGATGACTGCGTTAGGATGAGCAGACTCATGTTTGTGAAGGATCTCGCTCAAATCCTGTAGGGCTACTTTGTAATCCGCACGTGGGTGAATGTAAACAGCACATAAAAATATCACTGAAAACTCACGGGGAAGATAAAAAGGGCGGCTGCACACCAAGCATTCCAGATTGGCAGTACATGTTTGGTTCACGATTCGAGTGTCCGTGCACCAGCGCTGATTAATTAAAAAGCACACACCTCCGCCTCTGGCCTTGCCCATGGTTTCCTTCACTCTGTCCGTGCGGTGAGCGGTGAATCCCGGGGGCTGAACAGCAGAGTCCGGGACGTTCGAGTGGAGCCACGTCTCGCTGAGATAGAACTCAGCGCAGTCCCGGGCCTCGCACTGGCTCTGGACCCGACACAGGAGCTCGTCCGTCTTGTTGGGCAGAGACTGGATGTTGGCCAGGTAGATGGAGGGCAGAGCGGTCCTGGAGGAGCGGCTTCGAACGAGCAGACCGCCTCGCCTTCCCCGGTGTCTGCGCCTCCTTCGCCGACTCGAGGTGCCCAGCTCCACACCGCGGAGAGAACGCCGGAGACGCCCGGTCCCCTCGCTCTGTTGGCGGCCACCGCCGCGGCCCGCTTGCCGTGCTCCACGGGCCTCTCGAGTGGGACACTCGAGGAAGTTTGTGCACCTCAGTTCAGGTAGTACGAGTGACCCGTCACACGCAAGGTCCCGAATGTTAAGAAGCGCCTCTCGGTCATACTTCACAGTGGCAAGTGACTCAAAGACAAACAGCAAAGAGCTCTCACTGCGGCGCCATGACACGGCGCCATCTTGCTCAGAGCACAGGACTATGGTATTGCTCACTCCAAATGTCTCACTGCCCTGTCCACCCGCTGCTGAATAAATAGCGTATAAATAGCGAATAAATAGCGTAGCGTATATAGCGTATATTTATTTGTACATATGCATGAACAACCTGTGGCAGACCCTGCGCGTACACGTAATTACGCATGTGTTTTGCCTCATTCACCTCTGGGAAAGCAATGTGGGTTTTCCTTAGTTTTGTGCATAAATCCCCATAAATGCACCTGATCTTGCTCAAAACTGTCTCAGCCATTGCCCTGTACTCCGCAGAGCAGAGATGGGATGCAACGCGCACCAGCAGTATAGTTCATTCATTCATTCAGGTAGTTTATTATTTATTTATTTACGTCAAAATTTCAGGAAAGATGAGTGCTGCAGTGGGTCTAGACACTAGGGCAAAAGTGTATATATAATATATCATATATTTATTTATTTTTTAAACGTGAATAAACTCAAAAGTGCGTGCTTTTTGCGGCTTCTTAGCCGACTTCCTGCTGAGCGCGGCATTTATCAACAGCCGCAGGTGCGTACGCTCAGATCTGTGCGTATTTCACACGTTCATAAATGCCACGTCAGATCTTGCGTATCTGGGATCTACACCCAAAATGTACACCTTTTTCTGCGCAATTTTCATACATGAGGCCCTCTGAGAGGAATTTTATAACATGACCCCCAGGTCTCTGAAGAGCTTAGTTGGTGGTAATGTTTTATATGATTGACTGTTCATGGAATTGTCTTGGTTTTGCAGGTGGCACATTTCTTCGAGTGGATTCGAAGCGTCACTTCATGGCCTCTTGTCACAAAGTTCAATTCTTGACCTTTTTCAACACAGTTTACCCCCCTGAAATGTTTTGTGAAACAAACTAAGGTGGAGCCCTGAAACTGTAAGAGATAGAGCACAATTAAAATCAACAACAGTCATAAATAAAATCAAAATATGTAAAAAATAATAACAAAATCTGCAACAATTTGGTGCCGAATTGTCTTATTTTAAATATTGTGCAACAGAAAATTAAATGTAATTGTTAATAAAACATGTTATAAAATGTTATTGAAGTGTTTATTTCATGCAAGTATAGGAATAGACAAAGTCTGTGCAACTGTTAGGTATACTCGGGAAGCTCGGGGCTTCTTGAGTATACCCACAGCAAAGCCTAAGTGGCGTTAGCACCATGATGTAGAAGTATATTTATATAGCACATTTCTTGTATGTGCTCTTCTTACTGAGCTCAACTGAGACAAATCAACCCAATCAGTCATTTAAAGGTGATGTTAAAAACTTAAATTGTGTTTTATATTTAATAGGATGTATATTTCTGACAATGAGACACTAGTACTCGTATGTACAGTAAGTATTTTGGTAACGCTTTATATTAAGGTGTGCTTGTTAAGTATTAATAAGGTATTAATAGACATTAGCAACATGCTTTTATATTGCTTATATGTACTTATAAACATATTAATAAGCTGCTCATTTTACTATTCTCTAAATGATGTTGTTCTAGTTATATGGGTAGTATAGTATATTTAAAACAGTTCTTCCTCTTGGCATGTTCTTGTTTAACTGCACATGTAAACATTAAAGCCCAACTGTACACTGCGTATTTAAAAACCGCTTTACTCTTGGATGTTTCTGTTTTCTGACCTTGGTTGCTGATCCGCCTCCCGGCTGTATGGTGGGTGGTCGTTTTTGTAACGGCCGTTAAAGCAACCTGCCATTTGAAAATATCTGTAATAGATAATAGATAGATACTTTATTGATCGCCGTAGGAGAAATTCAGGATTCATTTGAATAAAACCAAAGCTAAGGTACATTTCTTTAGACATACATATACAATGATTGAAACACATTAGGAGCTGTATAAGACTGGTGTGAACGGAGGGGTTACTGAATGTATAAAGTATTGTGACTTTCCTAGTTAAATTAAATGTAATTAGGACTACTCAGAAAATAGGTTCTCTCTCTGGGAAAAATGATTTTGTGTGTAAAATACTCACACAACTTGTGCTAGCAAAGTTTGTGTTATTTAGATTGAAAAGGGATTCTTACAATATATACAGGCTCAAGCGCACTTGAGCAATAATATTTACAAACAAAGCAAAATAACAAACAAACATTATTCCCATCTACTGAGTCCACTCGAATAGTTACTATTTTGGCTTAGTCCAAGAGAAAAGTTCTACTTTCCTAGTAAACTACTAGTAAACTCCTAGTAAACTACTAGGAAAGTAGTCCAACTAGTCCAACTAGTAGACTGTTGGAGGTGGTGGGCGCGAGCGAGTGTACACAGGGTGTCCTACTGCAACAGATGTGAAGGGTGATCACACAAGGAACTGTAGGATGGCTACCGACTACTCTCAGCAAGTTGCCAATAACAAAAGCAGGGCCTGTGTACAAAATAGCATGCATACATTTTATTCAATTCAGTTTAGTTTTTGTCGTCAACAAAACACTTTCATCGGTAACAGGGGTAGTTTTGTACAGTCCTAGAATGTTAAATATCACATGTGTGTTATCCCTAGTCTAAATACATTATTGGGTTTGAGTGTTGTACTTCTGGGCCATTTCATGGTTTTCAGCCTTGTTGAATGATTGATGAACACTGAAAAAACTGAAATAGATAGATACATGGAGAGTTTTGCAAGAGCAGTCTATAATGTTGACATGTATCATGTGTTTGTTATCCCAGGTCTAAATACACCATTGACTTTGAATCTTGTGGCTCTAGGCCATTATATAGTTTTTAGCCGTTTTGAATTAATATTCTTGCATGAAACACTATCCCAACGGCAGTTTAAATAGTAACAGAGGTAGTTTTGAAAATACATTCAATATAATTATTGCATGAAACACTGAAAACGGCAGTTTCAATAGTTACAGATGTAGTTTTGTATATATAGTCAATATATCTCAGGTCTAAATACACCATTGACTTTGACTTTTGTGGTTCTAAGCCATTATATATTAGCCTGACTCTTGCCAGACCCTTGTAGTTTGCTGAGCTTCACACAAGGGTCTGGGTCTCCTTCACAGCGGATGAATTTCAGTAGGTGGGGCCTTGTAAAAAAAAATCAGTGTATGTGATTGGATAAACCACTTGTCTGAAATCTTGAATGACGTGTTCCTCAGCACTCGACTCCTCACTGCGTTGCAGGGTTGCCAAATGCTGGCAAGATTTTCCAGTCCAAAACCTGCAAGAATGCCCCCAAAAAACGTCATGCAATCACTGGGGCTGTCATGATTCTGTTTATTGTCTTTCTGTCTATTTATTTCCTACAAGTCGCTTGGAACAAAAGTGTACGGGAAACCACCCAACCTGGCAACCCTGCTGCGTAGTGTTGTGACAGAAGAATTTAAACCAGTACAGTGTTCAGCCAAACGTGGAGCATGGCGGAACTACAAGGATCTGTCAAGAGTCAGGCTAATTATATTTAGCCATTTTGAATGAATTCTGTGGCTCAGTTGGTGGAGCATTGGCTTCTGAACCTAATGGTCGTGGGTTCAATCCCCCCACGACCCATGTCATCTGCTACACTGAGGTCTGCTGTCATTGTGTCCCTGGGCAAGACACTTAACCCCACATTGCCAAAAGCCCCCACTGAAACACCAAGGCCGAATCTTCGTTGAAGCAGCAGCCATCTTCCCGTAGACCCACCACCTGCAGGAAGAACAGCTTGTGACCGGTACTATGTGATTTGGGTGGCAGCTCGGATTGCCACCCCTCCAACCCAGAAATGGAATAATGAAGGGGATGAAAATGACATGACATGAATGAAATATTACATGAACTATATTATGAAAACGCAGTTTCAATAGTTTCAGAGGTACAGTCCTAGAATGCTAAATATAGCATATGTGTGCTATCCATAGTCTAAATACATAATTAGGTTTGAGTTGTGCTTATATAGGCCATTTGATTGTATTCAACCTTGTTGCATAAAATACTGTGAGAAATGACATACCAATAGAAACATGGAGAGTTTTACTAAAACAGTCTGTAATGCTGACAGTTTGTTATTCCGGGTCTATTTACCCCATTGACTTTGAATCTTGTGGTTCTTGGCCATTATATAGTTTTTGGTCATTTTGAATGAATCTTTGTATGAAACATTGTGAAAACTGAAATTTCAATGGAAACAATATAAATAGGCAATAAAGGTGCAACAACCACCCACATACAATTTTTTTTATTTTATAAATAGGCAAATAGGAATAAAACCTTCCCAGATATGAATTAAAACGGACCAGAAACATCATGAATTACATTCTAGCTCTCAACAACTGTGATTCTATGCATTTGAACTGATTCTGTTGTAAAAGTGAATTTCATGCAGCAAACCACTTGAAACGCCTAAAACGGACCAGAAACATCATGAATTACATTCTAGCTCTCAACAACTGTGATTCTATGCATTTGAACTGATTCTGTTGTAAAAGTGAATTTCATGCAGCAAACCACTTGAAACGCCTAAAACGGACCAGAAACATCATGAATTACATTCTAGCTGTCAACAACTGTGATTCTATGCATTTGAACTGATTCTGTTGTAAAAGTGAATTTCATGCAGCAAACCACTTGAAACGCACAAAACGGACCAGAAACATCATGAATTACATTCTAGCTCTCAACAACTGTGATTCTATGCATTTGAACTGATTCTGTTGTAAAAGTGAATTTCATGCAGCAAACCACTTGAAACGCCTAAAACGGACCAGAAACATCATGAATTACATTCTAGCTCTCAACAACTGTGATTCTATGCATTTGAACTGATTCTGTTGTAAAAGTGAATTTCATGCAGCAAACCACTTGAAACGCCTAAAACGGACCAGAAACATCATGAATTACATTCTGTCTCCAAACAACTGTGATTCTATGCATTTGAACTGATTCTGTTGTAAAAGTGAATTTCATGCAGCAAACCACTTGAAACGCAAAAAAAACAGGCCAGAACAGTGTTTTCCACAGGTTTGAAGGCAATGTGTGGTGGTCGTCGGCGGGGGGGGGGGGGGGGGGGGGGCTGGTCGGCCGGCAAAATTAACAATGACATCGTTAATTGGTCAAATACAGCTTTATTGGACTGATCAAAAATATCAAACATTATTCACACGCTGTATATTACACTATAAATACTGTTAACGCTGTATAAACCTACTTGTTGCAAAGTTTGCATGTTTTATCAGAGCACCTGATTTTTCGGGGCTGGCGAAAAAAAGATTTTAATGCCATATCATAAGGGAAGTCCTCAGGACAGGGTCCATTGATGGAGATCCTCAAGCAAGCTGCCAGGTGTTCTCCTTGCAGTTTGTTCCTGAGGTCTGTTTTCACCTGGAGATAAAGCAAAATGATAAATTATTATCAATGCAAAATGCACCAATATAAAGACAATGGGAATTTTTTATTGCTATTACCCTGTTCATTGCAGAGAAATCCCATTCACAGTTCACAGAGGAAACAGGGATAACCAAAGCAATGCTTGCCAGAAGGTTCAGGCAGGGGTAGAGGTTGGCCCACTCATCAAACTCACTTGCCAGTAAACACAAGAGCTCCTCCTGGTTCTTGTTCTTGAAAGATAAGGGTTTGTCGTGGCATTAGTGTGTGTGTGTGTGTGTGTGTGTGTGTGTGTGTGTGTGTGTGTGTGTGTGTGTGTGTGTGTGTGTGTGTGTGTGTGTGTGTGTGTGTGTCAGGTCAATTCACTGACCTTGAATATAATATTGAATATAATCAATTCTATCTCGTTCTCTCCCTGACCCTGTCTTTCTGCTTGAGCAGCACTGGTTGAAGCCTGAAAATATTGTAAACTTATATAGCTAAT